CTACACTATGAAGAATGTAGGCAGCGTCTTCAGCTAAATTTGGAGATATATTTCACAAGGATCTCAAGGGGATACCCACAACATTCTGGATGATGCTTGAGCATAGGGAATGTCAGAAAAACGTGGTCAGTTAGATGAAAAATTAATCCTCTCTGCACAAGTAGAAACTGTCCATACACCTAGAAATGCTACATTAGAATCCAACTACCACAACAGTGTTGGCAACCTTTCAAAATCCAGAATATGTCCACAGAAAGAAAACAAGTAAAAAGAAGAAATCAAGCAGAAATAAATAAATAGAAGAAGTAAAAAAAAGGAAACACCAGGATAAGCAGGGATCAACACTAGGATTAATATCAGACTGACAATTAAGCAGTAAATAATATCCCAATCAAGGATCTATCAGCTCAGACAACTAAATAGTAAACAACAAGGAACTACCAAGAAAAAAACAACGTTCCCACCAACACTGAGAAGGCAACCCATTTATATAAAGAGTACAAATCCTTTCTCCCTTCTAGCACTAATAATAATAATAATAATAATAATAATAATAATAATAATAATAATAATAATAAAGTTGGAAGGGACCTTGGAGGTCATCTAGTCCAACCCCCTGCTCAGGCAGGAAACCCTGTACCATTTTGGACAAATGGCTGTCCATTCTCTTCTTAAAAATTTCCAGTGTTGGAGCATTCACCGCTTCTGGAGGCAGGTTGTTCCATGGTTAATTGTTCTAACTGTCAGGAAGTTTCTCCTTAGTTCTAGGTTGCTTCTCTCCTTGATTAGTTTCCATCCGTTGCTTCTTGTCCTGCCTTCAGGCACTTTGGAAAATAGCTTGACTCCCTCTTCTTTGTGGCAGCCCCTGAGATATTGGAACACTGCTATCGTCCCCCCTCTTCCTTCTCTTCATTAAACTAGACATACCCAATTCCAGCAACCGTTCCTCATATGTTTTAGCCTCCAGTCCCCCGATCATATTTGTTGCTGTTATCTGTACTTTATCTAGAGTCTCAACATCTTACTGAACATCTTACTGAAGTCCAAGTAAATTATATCTACAGCATTCCTCTGATCCACTAATTTTGTCACTTGGTCAAAGAATGCAATAAGATTTGTCTGGCATGATCTGTTTTTGACAAACCCATGTTGGTTTTTAGTAATGACTCTGTTTGCCTCTAGGTGTGATGACGTTACCTAGTTGGGTAATGAAACATCTTTAAGAAAACCATCAAGTTCAGAGAGCACCAAGAACCCTACAAAAAGAAGAAACTCCTACTTGTGGCACTGTCAGTTCTCATTGTTCAAAGAAATTAGATTAACTATATTTCATTTAAATATAGTCTTCTTTTAAATTGAATCCCATTTCCTTTGATCTTATAATCACATGCTTCTGGTGGCATGGGAATTTAGGATGCTGAAACTGTTTTGCATATCATTATGTGATGCGATATGAAATTGCTTGCAGTGGTGATATCAAAGAAATTGTAGGAAGTAATGAAGATGACCTTGAAGGAGACATGCGGGAATCTTTAACCAAGCAAAATGCTAAAACACATTTCAAGCCCAGAAGGAGATAACATTCAAAAAAGGCTCTGGTAAACACCCCTTTTATTCACCAAACTTTGAGAAGGAGGAGGAGGTACAGCATCAATAGTAATAGTACTAATAATGATGATGATGATGATGTTGGAAGGGACCTTGGAAGTCATCCAATCCAACCCCCTGCTCAGGCAGGAAACCCTATACCCAGTGGTGGGATTCAGCCAGTTTGCACCACTTCAGCAGAACCAGGCCCAAACCGGACTTCCGGAAGCGGCATCCACACAGAGAACTGGTTGTTCACATATCTGAATCCCACCACTGCCTATACTATTTCAGACAAATGGCTGTCCAGTCTCTTCTTAAAAACTTTCAGTGTTGGAGCATTCACAGTTTCTGGAGGCAGGTTGTTCCACTGGTTAATTGACTCCCTCTTCTTTGGGGCAGCCCCTGGGATATTGGAACACTGCTATCATGTCCCCCCTTGTCCTTCTCTTCATTAAACTAGACATACCCAATTCCAGCAACCATTCCTTATATGCTTTAGCCTCCAGTCCCCTAATCATCTTTGTTGCTGTTTTCTGTACTTTATCTAGAGTCTCAACATGTTTTTTACACCGTGGTGACCAAAATTGGATGCAGTATTCCAAGTGTGGCCTTACCAAGGCATTGTAAAGTGATATTAATACTTCACATGATCTTGATTCTATCCCTCTGTTAATGCAGCCTAGCACTGTGTTGGCTTTTTTGGCAGTTGCAGCACAAAGCTGGCTCATATTTAAGTGATTGTCCACTAGGACTCCGAGGTCCCTCTCACAGTTACTACTGTTGAACAGAGTACATCTATACTATACCTATACATTTGGCTTTTCTTGCCTAAATGTACTTTTTTCACCACTGAATTTCATTTTGTTAGATAGTGCCCAGGGTTCAAGTTTGTCCAGATCCTCCTGTATCCTAAGCCTGTCTTCTGGAGTGTTGACCATTCCTGTCAGCTTGGTGTTGTCTGCAAATTTGATGAGTTCCCCATCTATCCCCTCGTCCAAATTGTTGATGAAGATGTTGAAGAGCCCTGGGCCCAGAACAGAGCCCTGGGGCACCCCACTACACACTTCCCTCCATGTAGATGCGGTTCCATTGAGGACCACATGCTGAGTATGGCTGGTCAGCCAGCTATGAATCCATCTGGTGGTGATGCTGTCTAACCCACATTTTTCTCTCTTATCAAGTAGTAGGTTGTCAAATGCCTTACTGAAGTCCAAGTAAATGATATCCACAGCATTCCTCTGGTCCACTGATTTTGTCACCTGGTCAAAGAATGCAATAAGATTCATCTGGCATGCAAGACAAATGCAATGACATTAGTCTTGTATTAGACTTGCAAGATTCTCTTACGATAAAAAAAAAAGGTAATGTCTTTCATGTCTGGCTCTAGGGGGCGGTGCTTATCTCTGTTTCATAGCCAAGGAAGCCAGAGTCATCCAAAGATGCTTTCGTAGTCATGTGGCCAGCATGACTATACATCCGAGGTACAGAGAATGCTGCTACCTTCCCACTGAAGTGGTTCTTATTTATCTACTTGCATTTGCATGCTTTCGAACTGCTAGGTTGCCAGGACCTGGGGCAAAAATCGGAGCTCACCCAGTCATGTGGTCTTGGGTCTCAAACTGCCAACCTTTTCATCAGCAAACCCACCATTTAAACTGCTAGGCCACCGCGCCCCACTCTGTTGTGATAGCCAGTCTCAATAAAAGTGGTTTCAGCTATCCTGTGGAATTAATTTCCTGGTCTGGTCTGATGTAGGAGATGACCAGGCTGAGCCTGAGGGAGGTGTCAAATGTATCATCAGTCATGAGTCCCTGTGCACCCCAAGAGATCTACGTTGAGCTCAGTACGAATTCCTTTCTTAACTCCTGCTGTTTTCTTTTGGCCATTAGTAGTTCAGATTCTTGTAGGGAATTTAAGCTTGCAAATAATAATATTAATAATAATAATAATAATAATAATTCAAACAGACAAGCACCTGCAACATAACACCCCAGACTTAACAATTGTCGATAAGAAAGACAAAAAAGTTTGGATAGTGGACGTGGCAGTGCCTGGAGATAGCAGAATAGAAGAGAAAGAACTGGAGAAGATAACAAAATACAAAGACCTACAAATAGACATAGAAAGACTGTGGCAAAAGCAAGCAAGGGTAGTACCAATAGTCATAGGCTCCTTGGGTGCAATCCCCAAACAACTGGAGCACCACTTGAACACCATTGGCATCGACAAATTCGCTATTAGTCAATTGCAAAAGGCAGCCTTATTAGGAACTGCTTCCATCCTGCGACGATATCTGTAATACCATCAAACATCCACATCTGCCTATCCCAGGTCCTGGGTAAGGATTCGATAGGTAGACAAAATGCCAAATCCAGTCTGAACATCTGGCTGACTGTGCGATGATCGATAATAATAATAATAATAATAAAGTTGGAAGGGACCTTGGAGGTCATCTAGTCCAACCCCCTGCTCAGGAAGGAAACCCTATACCATTTCGGACAAATGGCTGTCCAGTCTCTTCTTAAAAACTTCCAGTGTTGGAGCATTCAACGCTTCTGGAGGCAGGTTGTTCCACTGGTTAATTGTTCTAACTGTCAGGAAGTTTCTCCTTAGTTCTAGGTTGCTTCTCTCTTTGGTTAGTTTCCACCCATTGCTTCTTGTCCTGCCTTCAGGCGCCTTGGAGAATAGCTTGACTCCCTCTTCTTTGTGACAGGCCCTGAGATATTGGAACACGGCTATCATGTCCCCCCTCGTCCTTCTCTTCATTAAACTAGACATACCCAATTCTAGCAGCCGGAATTGGGTATGTCTTTATACTCATCGGAATTGTCTGAATCCCCTGATTTCTCTGGCGCTGGACATCTCCCTAATGAGGTTGATGGTTCTCAACTCATCCAATTCTTTCATCCTTGAAGATCACAAGTCCACTAACACAGTGGTCTTTAAAGAAGAGGGATTGGTCACCTAGCTGGCATTTTGATCCATTTGCTGATCAGATGACACGATTCTTTTGGGCTTGGCAAACGTAGCATCACGTCACTCTTCCAACTCTACCTGGCATGTAGAATATATTGCCAAATTCTCTTCCCTTCAATTATGCAAATTATGCAATGATCATCCAAGCATCCACGCTGCTGATCTTATTCTATTATAACAGGTTTGGAGACAAGCCATTCCTTTCATAACTGAATGTGGTGTAAGAAGTGTTGTTTACATTTTTAACATAGGGAGTATAAAAGGCTGAAAAACAGAGTCACCCTCTCTCAGGAAGACAAAATCTACTGGGGAAAGAGATCCAGCTTAGCCAGCTTGAGGTAGAACAAGGGAGATTTAAAAAAAAAAAAAAAAGCAAGCAAAAAAACATGGAGGAAGTTGGAAAATGGTTGTTTGCTTTGTTCCTGACTGCAGTAATGTTGTATTTCCTGAAACAACTGTGGTCCCGCAGAAATTTTCCACCTGGGCCTTTTCCACTTCCATTCATTGGAGTCGCATGGCAGACTGGAATCCGAGTAACTCCGACACTTTTAACCAAGGTACTGTGTGATTTAAATCATGATGTTATTTAGCAAAGAGAATATTATTTTCTGCCAGGTCAGTAAAATTTTCTGGAAGGTAGTGATGGAAACTGGCTTAGCAGAAATGCTTCTTGTTTCATTCTCCAGATACTGAGCCAATATGATAAAATGGCTCCGTATCCTTTAATCATGATTTAATCATGATTATCTTCCCACCGGTATATAATGACCCTTCTGCTCCTCTACCTGTCTAGCAATAATCAGTTATTTTCTTATAAAATAACAAATTGACTGCCTGCATACTTTGCTATGATTAATGTGCATATTCAAATAGAAGTAAGTTGTGTGTAAACATGTGTAAACTTATTTTGTTCGATTTTATTATGATTTTATAGTTTAATAATTTGGTTTAACAAGTTGATTTTCTATTTTTATGTTGGTTAGCTGGGCAGAGTTATTTGATTAAGATTGGTGTGCATATAAGTTTGGAAGATTAATAGTAAGATTTAATCTATCATCTCTCTCTCAATGAATGAATGAATGAATGAATGAATGAAATACTATTAAAGAATTAAAAACAAAGACAGCACTATTCAAGGTTGTGCCTTTCATTCTGTTTACTAATCCTTTAATCATAACTAGAACAGCATTACATGATGTTGCATTCAGACTAAAAGCCTAAAGAGATTTTAACATCTCAAGGTGTTTTCTTTTCATGTAACTTAATTGTTCATTTGGCCCTCACTGTTCCAGTATTTCTCTCAGAAATTACAGAAATAAATTTGCATTATCCTTAAATTGTGGACCAGTACAAGGATTCTTTTTGTAGGAACTGATTTTTATGGTTTTTTTAAAAGTTCTTTCTTATGTACAAGAAATAAGTAGTTAAAAATGAAGTACAGAATACAAAATACAAGTGGATAAATAGCAAATCTGGAATTTTATGATACTAATATATCCAAATTTCATTATCAGAAGTTTATAGCATTTTTATACCCATTTGCCAGTGAAAATGCAGTATCCCTATTGAATTTTAAACAAAAACAAATTGGTTAACAATTATTCAAATGATTAAAACCAGAAGTAGTAAACAATGTGCTCTACCGATTCTATTAATTACACAGTGTTAAAATATAAGCTTTAAAAGCAAATTTGGGGTATGACACAATTCCATGCTTAATATTATGAAAGTTTCCATTCAAACTTAAATTCTGAGTTGGATTCACTTTTTAAATTCAAAATTAGAATTAACAGAATAACAGAGTTGGAAGGGACATTGGAGGTCATCTAGCCCAACCCCCTGCTCAAGCAGGAAACTCTATATCATTTCAGACAAGTGGCTGTCCAATCTCTTCTTAAAAACCTCCCGTGTTGGAGCACCCACAACTTCTGGAGGCAAGTCGTTCCACTGGTTAATTGTTCTCACTGTCAGGAAATTTCTCCTTAGTTCTAGTTCGCTTCTCTCCTTGGTTAGCCTACAATTTGGTTAGCTATTTTTCTAAAAAAGCAATCCAAGGTCTTTTCCAATAAAAGGAATGTAAATTCCTTGCTTCCTGTAGCACGTACAGTGATAATTTAACAGTGATATTTTGAAAGAGTGTATGATTTGATAAAACTTAATAAAGACATCTCAGATTGCAATAGGATGGCATCATCAGGCTAGGAACATCAACAGTAAAGATGTAATTTTCTGATGGTTTATCTCTAGCAGCCTGTCCTGCCTATCTTGATTTCTTCCTTAATAATTTCTTGATTGTTTCTTCCCTGATTGTTTATACGGTGCTATTTACTGCAAGCAAACATTCAGGCATAAGGAAACAATAGGGTGTTGTTCGTCCATCGATTTTCGATGAGGACCTTGACATCTTGTGTCCGTAGGTGGCTGATAAGACCGATGGTAGCACGGAATGTTCTACCACATACTGAACAAAGAAATGTAGACACTGTTACTTCAGCATTTACAGCTCTGGCTTTGCAGAGTGCTCACTTCTCTTGTGCCAAGATTGTCCCTCTGTGTTCATATGTCTGGCAACCCTGGTACACCAAGGTGCGCCATGTCGGTCGATCATGCGCCAGAAGTCCCCAAGAGATGGTGTTAATATCCAGGGACTTGAGAGAGGCTTTCAGCGTGTCTTTGTATTGCTTCTTTTGTCCCCCGTGCAATTGTTTTCTTGAGACAGCTCGCCATAAAAGAGCTGTTTAGGGATGTGATGATCTGACATCCTTACAACATGGCCTGCCCAGCGCATCTGGGCTTTCATCAACAGAGTGTAAACTGATGATAGGCCTGCTCTGGAGAGGACATCTGTGTCTGGTATCTTATCCTGCCACCGGATCCTCAGAATTCTACGAAGCAAGTCATGTGGAAGTAGTTCAATTGCCTAACGTGCCTCCTGTATACTGTCCAGGTCTCAGTAGCATACATCAGGGTAGTTAGCACTGCTGCCTAGTAAACTTTAAGCTTAGCAGCAAGGCAACCAGGACTGAACGCAGTGGTGGGATTCAAATATGTAAACAACCCGTTCTCTGCATGGATGCCGCTTCCAGAAGTCCGTTCTGAGCCATTCTGGGCAACAAAAAAATTAGCTACCGGTTCTGCTGAACTGGTGCAAACTGGCTGAATCTCACCGCTGGCTGAATGTCATATTTTCATTTTCTGTTTTGATTCAAATGGCAGCTGGCTAAGCGATATGGAAACATCTACACAATATGGTCGGGACACATGGCTATAGTGGTCTTCTCTGGATTTCAGGCAGTCAAAGAAGCCCTCATTCAAACTGAAGATTTTGCTGAGCGACAAATGACTCCCTTTTTTAAAGAGGCCTTTAAAAACAAGGGTAAGTTTTCATGAAGCTTAAGGGGTAATTTATCTGGTAAAATAGAGAATTTGCAGATTGGGGTAGATGATATATATCAGTGGTGGCGACCCTATGGCACGCGTGCCAGAGGCGGCACTCAGAGCCCTCTCTGTGGACATGCGCGCCATGCCCCAGAGATGGCAACCGTCCCTCTTCAACCAGCCACCCGCTAACTGGCTGAGGTCCCACATGGCCGGATGCATCCCAGCACCCATGTGCTCGCTGGCCTCTGTGTGCGGGGGCAGATGGTGTTAGGCAGCAGTCACCCCGGCCCCTGCCTCACCTTTCCCTGTGACAATGGCACTCCAGCCCTACCTCACCTTGCCTCGCCTCACCCCGCAGAATGAGCCTCCTGCCCATCGCCCCACCTGCCAGAGACCCCCTGGATCTCCCCAGCCCTGCCCGGCCCCCACAGACGTCCATCCCCACGAGCAACATCAAGGTGATCACACCCACCTTGGCCACACCCACCCAATCTGCCATGACCACAACAGCCATGCCCATCCAGTGGGCCACGCCCACCTGGCACCCGGCGATAAATAAGTGGGTTTTGGATTGCAGTTTGGGCACTTGGTCTCTAAAAGGTTCGCCATCACTGATATATATTATAAAATAAAATAAATAAATAAGAGCGAGCGAGCGAGAGAGAGAGAGAGAGAGAGAGAGAGAGAGAGAGAGAGAGAAAGAAAGAGAAAGAAAAAGAAAGAAAGAAAGAAAGAAAGAAAGAAAGAAAGAAAGAAAGAAAGAAAGAAAGAAAAAGAGAAAGAGAGAGAGGAGCACTGAGAAATCAAATTGCAAATTCTCATCACTATGTCATCACAAAGAAGAGGGGATCAATCTATTCTCCAAAGCAGGACAAGAAGCAAAACTCATTTTTGGGGAGGGAAAAAATGAAATAGTGTTGTAGACTTTTGGTTTCTCTGCCATTGTTCAGTATAATCCACGAGATTTCAGAGCAGATCTAGTCTTATTCTGGCAGTCCCACTTGTACCAGGCAGAAGCTGATTTTGCATCACTGATCCTGTTTTTCGCTGGAAAAAAAAAGAGGGATCTCTGAGATGGCCAAGTAGAATTTGCACGAGAACACACTTCATCTAAGCCAGGGTAATTCTGGGACTTGAAGTCCACAAAGTCTTGATCTTGCCAAGGTTGCAGACTCCTTGATCTAAGCTACCTAACAATATTTTAGTGATAATTTTTGTGAGCATAATGACTCACTCATTTCTTCTGGCTTCAGGTATTATATTTTCAAATGGTCAAAACTGGAAGCAACAAAGACGGTTTGGCCTAATCACTATGCGAAAACTTGGACTTGGGAAGAAAGGCATGGAGAATCGAATAGAAGAGGAGGCCCATCGGCTGGTGAAAATCTTTGCACGTGCAAAAGGTATCCTGTCTACAATCTCTGCATGCTTCAGAATGATATATCTGGTGTTTCATTAATACAGACTACAGAATAACAGAGTTGGAAGGGACGTTAGAGGTCTTCTAGTCCAACCCCCTGCTCAAGCAGGAGACTCTATACCAGGGCTTTTCAACCTTTTTACCCATTGTACTACTTTTAGGATATGGTAACGTCTGAGTACCGCCAGTCGCCTAGCAAGGTGTCAAAAACTTGATGAGCCAAAAAAAAAAAAAAGGAAAAAAGTGATAAAGTACAGGTAGTCCTCAACTTACAACAGTTCGCTTAGTGACTGTTCAAAGTTAAAATGGCACTGAAAAAAGTGCCCCCCAAGCCACAGCCGAGCAAGGTACCTGCCTGCCCACCTGGCGGCGCTCTTCCTCCTGTCCGAGGTTTTCATTGTTGTGAGCATTTCTGTTGAGAATTGGTGGGGGGGTGTAGGGTGGGGGGGAGAGGTGTTTGGTTTTATTCTCCCGTCTGCTGGGTGGTTGCAGCAGGTTTTGGTCACTTCACATGACCCTGGGACACTGTGACTGTCATAAATATGAATCAGTTGCCAAGCATCTGAATGTAAATCACAAGACCCTGGAGATGCTGCAACATTCCAGCTGATCAGCGCTTCTTCTGGGCTCAGCAGAAGTGCCAGGATCAGTGCTGCTTTCCAGCTGGAGCCTGGTGCTGATCCTGGCGGTTCCATTGAGCCCTGACAGCCTCAAAGAAGTGCTGATCCTGGTGGTTCCGCTGAGCCCTGACAGACCTGCAACTCCAGCCATCTCCCTCTCAGGCTTGTGCAGTGCTGCCACCGGTTCAGCTCATTCCCTTCCCCCACTACCACTTTTTTAGGATGGTCGCGTATCACCTGCCAGGTGCCAATGTACTACAGATGGTACCCGTACCACTGGTTGCTCTATACCTTGCTCTATACCACTCCAGACAAGTGGCTCTCCTGTTTCTTCTTAAAAGCCTCCAGTGTTGGAACACTTTTGGAGGCAAGTCATTCCACTGATTAATTGTTTTCACTGTCAGGAAATTCCTCCTTAGTTCTAGGTTGCTTCTCTCCTTGATTAGTTTCCATCTGTTGCCTCTTGTCTTGCCTTCAGGTGCTTTGGAGAACAGCTTGACTCCCTCTTCTTTGTGGCAACCCCTGAGATATTGGAACACTGCTGTCAGGTCTACCCTAGTCCTTCTTTTCATTAGAGTAGACCAGTGATGGCAAACCTTTTAGAGATCTAGTGCCCAAAAACTGTGCTTCCCTAACCCCGTTCCGCTCTGCCCCTGCCCCCGCTCCATCCCCCAGCCTTCCCCTCGCTATGCCTTGCCCCACCTGCCCGCAGGGCCACCCACTGCCTCCACGGCCCACCGTAGCAGATCGCCCAGGTGGCCCAGCAGCGTCATGGCAGCCACGCCCTCCGCCCGCATTCCACAGCATCATCTACATGTGACGGGGTGCGAGGGTGGAATCTTGTCTCTGCTGCCAGGTGCTTGGCTGCGCTGCTCCGTACGGGCTGTGGCCAGGGCGGCTCTCCTCCTGGGGGGCTGCTGGTAAGGAGTGGGCCATGGGGGGGGAGAAGCTTTGGTGACGGTGCGCATGCCCACAGAGAGGGCTCCGAGTGCCACCTTTGGCATGCATGCCATAGGTTTGCCACCACTGGACTAGACGCACCCAGTTCTTACAACCGTTCTTCATGTGTTTTAGCCTCCAATCCCTTAGTCATTTTTGATGCTCTTCTCTGCACTCTTTCCAGAGTATCAACATCTTTTTTATATTGAGGCTTTATATCAAAGCTTTTTTTTCTAATCAAGGTTGATCCTTTCCATGTTCCTCCTGACCACATGAACTGTGTCCCAACTGAATGCAAGGCCTGTAACAGGGGAATCTCTTATTCTTCCAGACAAAGACAAGAGTCAACAATTTCACTGTATCAGTCCCTATTTTGATAACCTAACTGTCCCGTGGCCCGTTTTTTTTCTAGCCTTTCGATGAAAGAGCCCTCTGCAGGGTCCCCTACTAACCGAATGGTTAAAAATAAGTGTTGTTTGATGGGTTCCCAACTACAGGTAGTCCTTGATTTACAACCATTGGTTTAGTAAGTATTCAAAGTTATAATGGCACTGAAAAAAAATGACTTACAACCAGCCTTCACCCTTAACAACAGTCACAACCTCCCCATGGTCACGTGATCAAAATTGGGACGCTTGGCAACCAATATGCATTTATGACGGTTGCCGTGTCCCAGGGTCACGTGATCATCCTTTGTGGCCTTCCCATGGGGCTTCTGACAAGCAACCTCAATGGAGGAAACTGGATTTACTTACTGGCTTTATGATTCACTTAACAATTGCAGTGATTTGCTTAACAATTGTGGCAAAATTGGCGGAGAGTCACTTAACAACTGCCTTGCTTAGCAATGGGAATTCTGATCAGAACTCTATACAATTGTGTACAGGTACAACCTGTACCGCCTCCCTTTTGTCCTGAAATCCCACTGACAATATAAATAGTTAAAATCAGGATAATATCAGTCTGATGGTGATTTTTTATTTTTAATTTCCAGAACAGCCACTGGATCCTTCTTTGCCTGTCACCACTGCAATCTCCAATTTGATTTGCTTTATGGTTTTTGGATACAGATTTTCTGCGAAAGATGAAAAATTCCAGAAAATGTTAATAAACTTGAATTGCTATATGAAATTTGGAGGCAGCTTTATTTACCTGGTGAGTTTTCTTCCAGAGACCCTGACTCCATCCTCCATCCTCTTGCTGATGATTTTTATTATGAAGATTCATTTATCAATGTAAGCAAAAGAGGCCGGGGTTTTAAAAAGAGTTTTAGCTGTGGAGGGCTACTGCAAGGTATCAGGAAGGCAGCTTTTTCAAGAACTCGCTGAGCCCTCCATGTGCACCTCTTCAGGTCTCATCAATTTCCTGACAGTTAGAGCAATTAATCAGTGGGACGAATTGTCTTCAGAAATTGGGATCCATGACAATTTTCCGCAGCCAATGTGCCACAGGACAACTCGCTGTGGGACAAGTGTTATACTAATATCAAAGAAATGTAAAATGTAAAAAAGATGTTGAGACTCTAGAAAGAGTACAGAGAAGAGCAACAAAGATGATTAAAGGATTGGAGGCTAAAACTTACAAGGAACAGCTGCTGGAATTGGGAATGTCTAATGAAGAGAAGGACGAGGGGGGATGTGATATCAGTGTTCCAATATCTCAGGGGCTGCCCCAAAGAAGAAGGAGTCAAGCTATTCTCCAAAGTACCTGAAGGCCGGACAAGAACCAACGGGTGGAAACTAATCAAGGAGAGAAGCAACCTAGAACTAAGGAGAAACTTCCTGACAGTGAGAACAATTAACCAGTGGAACAACCTGCCTCCAGAAGTGGTGAATGCTCCAATACTGGAAGGTTTTAAGAAGAGACTGGACAGCCATTTGACTGAAATGGTATAGGGTTTCCTGCCTGAGCAGGGGGTTGGACTAGATGACCTCCAAGGTCCCTTCCAACTCCTCTCCTCTCCTCTTCTCCTCTCCTCTCCTCTCCTCTCCTCTCCTCAGGTTGTTCCATTGGTTAATTGTTCTAACTGTTAGGAAATTCCTCCTTAGTTCTAGATTGCTTCTCTCCTTGATTAGTTCCCATCCGTTGCTTCTGACCCCCCCCCTCTTCTTTGTGGCAGCTTCTTAGATCTTAGAGCACAGCTCTCATTCAATTCTGCCTGCTGGCATCCAGAAGTGGTTTACCAAATATATATAATGTCATGTGTCTGATTAACGAAACACTTCAAAGAACCTTCAGGCATTTTTTTAACCTAAAAAGCCCTTATTAGTGTTACAGAGATGTCAGCACGGCATGGTGAAAATGCTAAGATCTGAATTTTCCTTCCCTTTGCACATAACATTCCAGGCATTTCCCCTCCCCTATTTTGGGGTCATGATTCACATCTTCCAATTAACTCGGAGGGCAAAGATTCACTTCCATTCCTTTTTCCCAGGCTTTCCTTATATTCCCTGTCACCTGATTTAACTCTAAAAATACCAGACAGTTCTGCATATATTGTCGAAGCAAGAATTAGCGGCCTTGGCATATAAATGACATAGCCTGAAGACTTATGAATTAGTCAGACAATATTATCAAAGTGGTAAATTCAAATAATTGGCTGATGACGTCATTGTGATAGAATTTCTCCCACCACCCCCTCTTTCCTTTAGTTGTATGAATTGTTTCCATGGTTGATGAAACATCTTCCTGGACGTCACCAGAGGGTGTTCCGGGCTTTAAACGATGTCATCTCATTTGCCAAGGAAGAGGTCGAGAAGCACAGGGAACTTCAGTCACTGCACGACCCCCAGGATTTCATTGATTACTATCTTCTTCAGATGGACAGAGTAAGTGTTGGGCATCCTGGAAAGAAATTTTTTGTGGGTCTTCAGAACTCAGAAGGGCATCCTATTTTGCTAAGGACAGCATACCGAGCAATCTTGCTGTGTTGTTCACATGTACAGGTACTCCTTGACATACAACCATCTTCTTAGTGACTGTTTGAATTTACCACGGCACTGGAAAAAAAGTGACCTATGACCATTTTTCACCCGTCAACCATTGCAACAGCCCCATGGTCATGTGATCAAAATCCTGATGCTTGGCAACTGACTTGTATTCATGACAGTTGCAGTGTCCCGGGGTGTGTGTGTCATGTAATATTGTGACCTTCTGACAAACAAAGTCAATGGGGAAGCCAGATTCACTTAACAGTCATGTCACTAACTTAACAACTGCTAGTGATTCACTTAACAACTGGGGCAAGGAAGGTCGTACAATGGGGCAAAACTCACTTAACAACTGTCTCGCTTAGCAATGTAAATTTTGGGCTCAACTGTGGCCATTCCTTCCTCCACCTACTGTTGCTTGAAGCTGGTTGCTAGAATCCTGCAGGCCTGTGTTGATTAGTTAATTTACGACCTTTTTTTTTCACGCATGCAACCACTGCAGCATCCCCGTGGTCACATGATCAAAATTCAGATGTGTGGCAACTGGTTCATATCTATGACGGTGGCAGTGTCTCCCTGGGGTCATGGGATCCCCTTTTGCGGCTTCCTGACAACAAAGCCTGTGGGGAAACCAGATCCACTTAACAACCATGTCATTAATTTAACAACTGCAACGTTAATGGGGAGGAGGCCAGATTTGCTTAAGGAGTGCGTGGTTCACTTAAGAGCTACAGTGGTTTGCTTAGCTATTTAATGGAACTGAAGGCAAAGCAAGGGAGGGTTTAAAGGTGGTTAACTGAATTAAATATCCTTTTTAGTCGGGTTTTGACTTACTTTACAACCGCCTTGCTTATCAATTCTGGCCCCAGTTGTGGTTGTAAGTCGAGGACTACCTGTTAAAGATGTCTTCTACACAAGGAGGACTTTCCTCCGACACAGCAGTACGTGATGAATTGGGATTGTTAAGTTGATTTCATATTTTCTATTATCTACAACAGAGCAAAGGTGACCCTGAGTCTGCTTATGATGAAGAGAACCTAGCTCAGTGCATTGTTGATTTTTTTATCGCAGGGACAGAGACCACGGCCACCACCTTGCAGTGGGCACTGCTACTCATGGTGGCTTACCCGGAGGTCCAAGGTGAGACTCGTAGATTGCACAGGCGTGGAAGGCTTCTCTCAATCCTGAAACTGTTGCTTTTATTTCAGTGACAGATTCCAAGACTTCCTGCTTGAGTGGATGAGGAATAATTGCTCATCTCTAACTATAAAGAGGACATTCAAAACCCATAAAAATGCTATTTAATGGAACTGAAGGCAAAGCGAGGGAGGGTTTAAAGATGGTTAACTACATTAAATATCTAGAACTAAGGAGAAATTTCCTGTTAGAACAATTAATCAGTGGAACGACCTGCCTCCGGAAGCTCTGAATGCTCCAACACTGGAAGTTTTTAAGAAGAGACTGGACAGCCATTTGACTGAAATGGTATAGGGTTTCCTGCCTGAGCAGGGGGTTGGACTAGATGACCTCCAAGGTCCCTTCCAACTCCTCTCCTCTTCTCCTCTCCTCTCCTCTCCTCTCCTCTCCTCTCCTCTCCTCTCCCCTCCCCTCCCCTCCCTTATCCTATCCTATCCTATCCTATCCTATCCTATCCTATCCTATCCTATCCTATCCTATCCTATCCTATTCTATTTTTTGATATATATTTGATATGAATATGTATTTTTTCCTATTTTCCCCCCCTCCTACATCAGATTTTTCTCTCATTCTCGTAACAATTGGGCTACCTAATCTGAGCTGTCAATCTGAGCTGTCAAAATCCAAATCTTTACAGGATGGTCGTACTCTTTGCTGTCATCTATTGGTTGTCTGGATTTTGCAGCCCAAATATATGGCGGCCCTTCACAAGAGTGAATACACAGAATGTGGATCCTAGAATTCTTTCCAGGTCATGACATCAGTTCCATGGCAACTCAAATGTCATGTGATCATGTGACTGTGACTTTTTTGCTGGTTTCCAACATTTTTTGCAAAAAAAAAAAATGGATTTAGGAATTGAAGTCCACCTATCTAGAAACTCCCTAGGGGTAGGCTAAAAAAGGTGCTTTTTCAAAGGGCAACTAGTTTTTCTTTATTTTTCCTTGAAGATGTTTCGCTTCTCATCCAAGAAATTTCTTCAGTTCTACCTCATCCAAGAAGTTTCTTCAGTCACAACTGAAAAAGCCTCTTGGATGAGAAGCGAAACATCTTCAAGAATAAATAAGAAACTTTAATTGCTTTTTGAAAAAGTACTGTGGGAAGTCAGCCCCCCAGAGAAAGAAATATTTTGGAAATATTTAAGAGGCAGAAAAGCATGCTCAGTTTTCTTTCTTAATAGCCCCAAGTCTCCCTCCCCCAAGCAGAAACCAGCTCTGTAGAAATGCAGATGTAAATAATCCAGGAAGGTTGAAGCTAGAAGATTAAGAAGATAAAGACATCTAAAATCTACATACCCCACCCAGATTCTAAGACAGGACATAATAGGATTAACCCACAGATGCCAAAGGGCACACTCAGACTCAGGTCAAAGTTCATGCCACAGGAACAACTCCAAACAAAAGGCTCCAGAGGGTATAAAACCCCACTCCCTACATGTGCTCTCTCTCTTTTCTTCCAGAGCCATCTTTTTGTCTGGCTCTCCTCTTCAATAAACTGCAACCTTCTTTCTAAAGCAGTCACCAGGTTGGTTATTCCTGGCTTGGACTGAACCATGATGAAGACTTTTCCTCTAACACAGTGGTTCTCAACCTTTCTAATGCCGCGACCCCATAATACAGTTCCCCATGTTGTGGTGACCCCCAACCACTTATACATCACCGGGTGCCAGGGGCATGGCCAAAGAAAAGGGGGAAAAAAATGGCGGACAGCCTTGTTTGGCGACCCCCGTGAAATGGTCATTCGACCCCAAATGGGGTCCCGACCCACAGGCTGAGAACCACTGCTCTAACAGTACCTTTGGGTCAACTATGACCTGGATGACTGGGAATTTCCATAGACGTTCCCGAGGGGTAGATCTACCACCTTATGCTTTGTCATCATAGCTCAGTTCTTAATCAGATTCTTTGTGAATTATGTTCCACGTTCTTCATTGACTGCATCGATTGTAGTGGAGTATCTGAGATACTTTAAGATGAGATTGGACAATCATTTGTCTGAAACGGTATAGAGATTCCTGCTTGAGTAGGGGGTTGGACTAGAAGACTTTCAAGGCCCTTTTCAGTTCTGTTCCTCTGTTATTCTGTTATAATTTTTCTTTTCTATTATGGCCTTCAGAGAAAGTCCGCAAGGAAATAGAAGATACATTGGATCCCACCCATTCAATCTGCTATCAAGATCGGGTGAAACTCCCATATACCAATGCTGTGATTCATGAGGTTCTCCGTCTGAAATATGTCTTAATTGTTGGTGTCCCCAGGCAAAGTGCCAGAGACGTGAACCTCTATGGATATCACATTCCAAAGGTACGGGAGTTGATACTAGAACAATGAACATACCAGAGGACACTTCCTTTAATAAGGAATTCAGTGCAGTGGACATGTTGAAAGTTGAACCCCCCCCCTTTTTAAAAAAATCTGAAAGTCAAGAAATTCATGTATTGCATGCAAGTAATGATTCCAGTTGCTGGGAAACATAAGCCGAAAGATTGGCCTCTGTTTTCAATAACTTGAAAAAACTTTATTGCAGTCATTAACCAGCAGAATTTTTCAGTAATATACTCTGACATTTTAGTGATCGAGATTAACTGAAACCTGCTTCGTTATTCGATGAGAGCAGCATTAGATTAATTTAACTTGGTTATTGACTTAATCCATTTTCTGTGTTTTACAATTCCTTTCACCACAAGTGACAAAAACAGGCTAGGTTTCCATACCACTCTAAGAATCCCCAAATCTAATCAAAGTTAAGACAGACTAGCTACTATATTGCATGTGGTGGGAATGTGGCTACTAAGCCTGTAGCTGATCTGGTTAAATGCTTTGTATGAACACCGTCCATGAGATGTTGTGGTTAGTACTGATGCTCTTCATAGGAGAATTCCAGTTCTCTGCAGGTTGCTGCTACTCCTTTGCACAAAACCATCATTTTTTTCCATGTAAAAATGGTGAATAATGGATTTTCAGCTGACATTCAAGGAACAAATCTTGAAATAGGAATGGGAATGCAGGAACTGGTTTAGCTTACATTTTAATCAAGTTGACAGTAGGAGATAGCTATTATCCTTTTTACATAATTAGGGGAAATTTGCTAGGAAGAGACCCAGTTTGATCTAGTGGTGAAGGCACTTGGTTAGAAATTTGGAAACTATGAGTTCTACTGCCACCTTGGACATGAAAGCCAGCTGGGTGACTTTGGGTCAATCACCAGGAGACTGAATTCTAGTCCCACCTTAGGCATGAATGGTGCCTGGGTGGCTTTGGGCAAATCACCAGGAGACTGTGAATTCTAGTCCCACCTTAGGCATGAAAGTTGCCTCAATGGCTTTGGGCCAGTCACCAGGAGACTGTGAATTCTAGTCCCACCTTAGGCATGAATGGTGCCTGGGTGGCTTTGGGCAAATCCCCAGGAGACCGTGAGTTCTAATCCTGCCTTAGGCATCAAAGTCAGCTGGGCAACTGTGATTCAGCTCAACCCACCTCACAGGGAAAATGGGAGGAAGACGGAGTATTATATATGTTCACAGCCTTGCATTATGTATAACAATAAATAAGTAAAGGTGGGATGGAAATAAATACATTAGGAGGCTCTAGAAACGTCATCAGCTGTGTACCGAGATGCATTTCTTCCTCCTTCAGGGGACTTTGGTTGTTACAGATCTGAACTCGGTACTTTATGATCCCAAGAGATGGGAAACTCCTGAACAATTCAACCCGTACCATTTTTTGGACAAGGATGGGCATTTTGTACCAAGAGAAGAATTTTTGCCATTTGGAGCAGGTAAATCTGAAGCACGTTTTCCAGAATATTTAGATACAGTAGATAGATAGATAGATAGATAGATAGATAGATAGATAGATAGATAGATAGATAGATAGATAGATAAAATGATAGATAGATAGATAGAGATAGATGGATAGATGGATAGATAGATATAGAGATAGATAGATATAGAGATAGATAGATATAGATAGATAGATAGAGATAGATGGATAGATGGATAGATAGATAGATATAGAGATAGATAGATATAGAGATAGATAGATAGATAGATAGATAGATAGATAGATAGATAGATATAGATCAGTGTTTCTCAACCTGGACCGGTTTCTGAGGTGTGGACTTCAATTCCCAGAATTGCCCAGCCAGCCTTGCTTGCAAGGCTGGCTGGGGAATTCTGGGAGTTGAAGTCCACACCTCAGAATCTGGTCCAGGTTGAGAAACACTGATATAGCGAGAGAGAGAGAGAGAGAGAGAGAGAGAGAGAGAGAGAGAGAGAGAGAGAGAGAGAGAGAGAGAGAGCCTTTATTGCCATTGTTTCATGTGGGCAGAACAGCACACATTAAAAATGAAATTTAGTTGCTTCCTCTCAGAGTGTACACATACACAACACACATTTCATATATAATACGAATCAAATTCCTTGGTTAGGACTGAAACTAGAAACGTTGGCAAATAACTGTCCATCACTTCTAACCTCCTTTCCTTATCTTTGCACTGCAGGGCCTCGGGTGTGCCTGGGTGAGCAAATGGCCAGGATGGAGCTCTTCCTTTTCTTGACCATCCTGTTGAGGTCCTTTAAGTTTCAGCTACCAGAAGGAGCCAAAGGACTCAGTCTGGAACCCATTATGGGATTATCATTGCACCCTCAACCCTACAAACTTTGTGCTGTTCCTCACTGTAGGACCCCGTAAAATCAAGACAATTGCTCTCAGTTTGCATGTTGGCCTTTACCTCTAGACTGAAATTCTACTCCGAGAGCATTGCTCGGATTTGTTTGTCCTGGAGTTTTCTCAGAAATGTCCCTAACCCTTACCATTTGTTTTATTTTCATGCTGTTCTTTCTTCTGAAAGAGATGAGACTGGTATACAAAACATGGTACCGTATATGCCAGTGTATAAGACGACTCGGCGTATAAGACGACCACCGTCTTTGACGCCGATTTCAGCGCTTGCGGAAGTCGTCTTATACGCCGGCATTTACGGTAAATACAATCTGCTGTAAAACTATCACAGTTAAGTCATAAACAATAATGCAAAATCGTACAAAACAAAACAAAAAAAAGAGGAACAGAACAATGGGAATTCTTCAATTTAGTAAACGGGCCACTTGGTCCCACTGGGGCCATTGTTGCTCTGCTAGTGCACAGGTGAAAACCATGTTTTTAATGATGTTTAAAACAAGACAGAAGTAATCCTCGACTTACGAGCACAATTGAGCCCAACATTTCTGTTTGTGAGTTTTGCCCCATTTTTACAACCTTTCCTGCCAAGGTTGTTAAGTGATCTCTGCAGTGGTTAAGTCAATAATATGGTGGTTAAGCGAATCTGGCTTCCCTGTTGACTTTACTTGTCAGAAAGTTGCAAAAGGGGATCCCATGACCCGGGGACGCTGCAAACGTCATAAATATGAACCAAGTTTGCCAAGCGTCCAAATTTTGATCACGTGACCATGAGGATGCTGTAACGGTTGTAAGTGTGAAAAACAGACATAAGTTGCTTTTTTTTCAGTGCCGTTGTAACTTCAAATGGTCACTAAATGAACAGTTGTAAGTCAAGGGCTACCTGTGTTCCTGGAGACCACTTGTCTTCATCAAGAAGAGGAATCCATAACTATGGCTTGGTGTCCCAAAGGTGCTTTTTCAGGAGGCAACTGGACTTTCTTGTTTTTCTTTGAAGACATTTTGCTCCTCATCCAAGAAGCTTCTTCAGCTCTGACTGGGTGGTGGGGAATGGAAGGAAGCATCTTTGGGACAACTATGATGTTATGGTTCTGACAGATGAAACTCTTCAAAAGAACTTTGAGGCATTGTTTACCTTAAAGAATCTTTTATTCAAGTAGCATAATATCGGCACTGCATAATCAAAGCCAAAAACTGAATTCCCCTCCCTTGGGCACATAGTATCAAAGCACAATTCCCTCCTCCAATTAACTAATAAATTACATTCCCCAATTAGCTTGAAGTGTGGGTTTCCTCTCCAGTTCTTTAGCCTGCCAATTCTTGATCAGGTCTGGGCTCAATAACCTTGATTCTCACACTAGGTTTAGTATTGTTATGTCTACCTAGACTCTCATTCACATCCCCACCCCTCCCAGCATCATTTAATTCTAAAAGCAAAAGGGAAAATGATGGCTACATTTCCATCTGTTGTCAACGCAAACCATCTGATGTTAGCAGCGTGGACACATGACCTGGATGACTGAGAACCTCCATAGACATATGGCTTGGTGATTAACAAAGATTTTCTCTTGGACCTATGTTGCAAAGGACACCTATTGATGAACTATGAACATGGCTTCCTTGGTTGTTGTTCTAAGGAACATGAGTTGGTGGAAGTGGAGAGGCAGATATTTAACATACAATTGGTGCCTAATGCAGTAATGAAGACTTGTATTCTGACAAAGGTGGAAGATTAAAATCAGGGAGATGTGGTGATCCACCAAACGCTGGTGACGCATAATGCAGAAAAGCTCATTCAGCAACACTCCTCTGTCTCACAATGTTGGAGGAAACCTTGGAGGACATTTGGTACAAGCCTCTTCTCAAGGCAGGTTTGACTAGAGCACGTCTGGTAGAGGATATCCAGTCTCTATTTGAAGAACATCCAGTGAGGGACAATCTGCCACTTCATCTGGCAGCCTCTCCCACTGGCTGGCATCTCAAACAATCCATAAATTTATCATTGATGTATTTATTTAATCAATTTATATAGCTGCCCATCTCAACATGAGACAGCAGGGTGCTGCAGCTGCCAAAAAAGTCAACATGGTACTAGGCCGTGTTAACAGAAGGATAGAAACAAGATCACGTGAAGTGTTAATACCATTTTACAATGCCTTGGTAAGGCCACACTTGCAAGATGGCATCCAGTTTTGCTCACCACGATGTAAAAAAAGATGTTGAGACTCTCGAAAGACTGCAGAGAAGAGCAACCAAGATGATCAGGGGACTGGAGGCTAAAACATATAAAGAGCAGATGCTGGAATTGGGTATGTCTAGTTTAATGAAGAGAAGGACCAGGGGTGACATGACAGCAGTGTTCCAATATCTCAGGGGCTGCCACAAAGAAGAGGGAGTCAAGCTCTTCTCCAAAGCCCCTGAAGGCAGGACAAGAAGCAACGGATGGAAACTAATCAAAGAAAGAAGCAACCTAGAACTAAGGAGAAACGTCCTGAGGTAGAACAATTAACCATTGGAACAACCTGCCTCCAGAAGCTGTGAATGCTCCAATATTGAAAGTTTTAAGAAGAGACTGGATAGCCATTTGTTTGTAATGGTGTATGGTTTCCTGCCTGAGCAGGGGGTTGGACTAGAAGACCTCCAAGGTCCCTTCCAACTCTATTATTATTATTATGGATCATTGCACAGTCAGCCAGATGTTCAGACTGGATTTGGCATTTTGTCTACCTATCGAGTCCTTACCCAGGACCTGAGATAGGCAGATGTGGATGTTTGTTGTTGTTGTTATTATTATTACTACGTGTGACTCTGGGCAGTGAACAGTATTAATAAATAAAACAATAACAATCACTAAAATTAAAACTTCAGGAAAAAGCTGAGAGATACAACTGTCATTAACGAATGCATCCAGGAGACGAGAGCCTTCACATATTTGGGAGGCCCCAGGTTTTGGGCACAGAACTAAGCCTTTGGGGCCTTGGGAAAAGGAACAGAGTCAGGGTCAACCTAATCAACGGCGGGAGAATATTCCAGAAGGCAAGTGCTACAACAGAAAAGTTCTTCCTCATGTCCAGCTTAGACCTTCTTCCTTATGCTGTTAGTTCTGGTCCTGCTTAAGAAAGAAGGGGAGAACCTGCAGCTATTAAGTGAGTTTTGCCCCATTTTACAACCTTTCTTGCCATAGCTGTTAAGTGAATCAATGCAGTTGTTAAGTTAGTAACATGCTTGTTAAGTAAGTCTTCATTGACTTTCCTTGTCAGAAGGTCTCAAAAGATGATCACATGACCCTGGGACACAGCAACCATCCTAAATATGAGCCAGTTGCGAAGACTCTGAATTTTGATCACGTGACCATTAGAAAAATTACGGCATACTCCATTTAAACTTCCAGAGAAAGATTGAAGTTAAACGAAGTCCAGGCAGAAGAAGAACATCGTGGCTTCGAAATCTAAGGGACTGGTTTGGACAAAACTCAGCAGCCCTTTTTCGTGCAGCTGCTGATAAAAACAGGATCACCAACACGATCGCCAACATCCGATAATGGATAGGGCACGAGAAGAAGAGGAAGACTATGGGGAGGCTGCAACGGTCCCAAGTGTGGAAACCGATCATAAATCATTTTTTTCAGTGCTATTGTAACTTCGAACAGTCACTAAAGATTGAGGACTACCTGTATTGAAGACTGTAATACTTTTAAAACAACTCCTACATTTATATTCATAATCTAATTTCTCTGGTTAGCCTTCAGGTTTTAATTCTGAAACTTTCTCTGCTTTTAACATCTTCACATCTCAACGTACAACAGTTAACATTTTTAGACTGTTTATGTTTTGTCACATAACACTTAGACTTTTTCTATGTTTACCATGTCTCATATAAATGTATCAAATATAAATATGTATTTGAATGATAATTGCATTAGTTAATTACACAGAACTGTAACCATTTACTGTTAAAATATATTGTACTTTTTTTCCTTTTGTTGTGTTTGATTTCACTTTTTTCTCCCTTTACTTTGATGATCTATGGATTTTTACTTTTGTGGAATTTTTTTTTTCATTTCTTTTTCAATACTATGTTGAGTTGTCAAATTCCAAATGCTAAGTATATATTTCAAAAGGATGTTATTGTCTGAAAGTTTTAGTTTTTGATGCAAAGTCACATTTATGTAGTCTATTGCTTTCTCCTAAAGTAAGTAATTATTAAGACATGTGTTTTAAAGAAGTATTATCCTTATTATATCTCCAACAAATCCTGTTCTATACAGGCATAATGGGGTCCAATACATTCTAAATATTATCTTTTGTTGTATAACCCATACACCATGGTCCACTGGTACTTCTGATATAGAAGTAAAAACAGTCTCAGATTTTCTAGGTCATATAGGCACCTCTAATTCCCCCCCATTCATTTAATAATAATAATAATAATAATAATAATAATAATAATAATAATAATAATAGTAGTAGTAGTAGTAGTAAAGTTGGAAGGGACCTTGGAGGTCATCTAGTCCAACCCCCTGCTCAGGCAGGAAACCCTACACCATTTTGGACAAATGGCTGTCCAGTCTCTTCTTAAAAACTTTCAGTATTGGAGCATTTACTGCTTCTGGAGGCAGGCTGTTCCACTGATTAATTGTTCTCACTGTCAGGAAGTTTCTCCTTACTTCTAGGTTGCTTCTCTTCTTGCTTAGTTTCCACCGTTGCTTCTTGTCCTGCCTTCCGGCGCTTTGGAAAATAGCTTGATTCCCTCTTCTTTATGGCAACCCCTGAGATATTGGAATACTGCTATCATGTCCCCCCTCGTCCTTCTCTTCATTAAACTAGACATACCCAATTCTAGCAACCGTTCCTTATATGTTTTAGCCTCCAGTCCCCTAATCATCTTTGTTGCTCTTCTCTGTACTCATAGCATCTGCAAATCAAACTTATTAATAACAAGTATTTATAGAAACTAATAGTGCCTGTTTTAGTTTTAAAAGATTTAACAAGTTGCTCTAGTATCTTGGATGT